TTAAGATTTGCTTTATATAGTTGGGTGCTCCCGTGTTTGGTACATATATATTTATGAGTGTTACCTCTTCCTCTTGAATTTTTCCCCTAACCAGTATGTAGTGGCCTTCTTTATTTCACTTGATCCTTGTTGGGTTGAAGTTGAGACTGTCTGAGAATAGGATTGCTACCCCTGCTTTTTTGTGAGGTACCGGGGCATGTAGTATTGTGTTCCATCCTTTGACTTTCAGCCTATGAATGTCTTTATGTGTTAAATGTGTTTTTTGTATACAGCATATTGTTAGATTTTGTTTCCTAATCCACTGTTCCAGTGTATTTCTCTTAATTGGTGAATTGAGTCCATTTACATTGATGGTTAGAATTGAGATTTATTGACTTAGGATCGATGTGTTATTTACCTGTTGTCGTTTACTCCTTTTTCTCCTGTGTTTAATTACTTGCCCTATTTATTTGGTTGCTTTTGATCTCCTTCATGGAGTTCTGATTGTTTTGTTCCCTCTCTAGAACATCTTTCAGTAGCCTGTGTAGGGTTTGCTTTGTCATCACGAAATTCTTTAGCTGTTCTTTGTCATGAAAGTATTTCACTTCTCCATCAAACTTGAGAGTTTCGCAGGGTATAGTATTCTGGGCTGGAATTTGTTTTCATAGAGGACTTGAAGTACTCTGCTCCATGCTCTTCTGGCCTTCATGGTTTGTGAAGAGAAGTCGAGCATAATATTGATGGGTTTTCCTTTGAATGCGATCTGCTTCTTTTCTCTAGCGGCTTTCAGTATATTATTCTTGTGCTGAATTTCTGGGACTTTGACTATTATATGTCTTGGTGTCTTTTTCATTGGTTTGAGGTTACTTGGCGTTTTGTATGCTTCAGTTACCTGAATGTCAGATTGTTTCCTTATATTTGGGAACTTTTCTGCTATTACTTCTACCCATATTTTTAAAATGTCATTTGTATTGACTCCTTCTTTCTCATTGATGCCTATTAGTCTCACATTGTTCTTCTTTGCATCATCTTACAGTTGATGGATTATTCTTTCCTGCATCTTCGTTGTTTTTAAGAGATCCTTTCTTACCTTTTCATTAGCTGCACCAGCATGTTCAAGATCTGAAACTCTCTTCACTTTCACTTAAACGGTTTTACAAGCTTGTGATTGAGACTTTAATTTCCTCTGTATCTCTTTGACTCTGCTTCATGCAATCTATTTCTTTCCTGTATTGCTCATTCAAGTAATCCGTAATTTTTGTAATCTCCTCTATTTT